CCTCGGGCTCCTCCCTTGATTACTTCCCGCGGAGGCCCGAGGGGTCCGGCGTAGCGCTTCCTCGCGGTCGCTGCACAACAGCCCTGCGAGGTAGGCTGGCCCGAGGGAAAGCGGCCGGCCCCGAGTCGCGCGAGGGGCTAAAGCCGGGCTGGCCCCGTTCCTTGGCCGTCCAATCACTGCCGCGGGGCCCTCGGGGGCTCTCGTATTAGAACTGCTATTGTAGTAGTTATTTTCATTACTGGGATGATGGCGGCAGCTGCTGCCCCTCCCCGGTTGGCCCGTTTCTTTTGGGTCGGATTCTCCGTTGTGTAAACACGCACATGCCCGGGGCAGAGATCGACCCCCTTCCGTGCTTCATGCACCCTTGGCGTGGAGGGGGCTCCTTGAACGCTTTGGGGTATGTTTTGTGTACAGTTTCACTTTCTGGTTTCACTTTCTCAATTGAGCAGCCTTCGTTTATGCTGGGCAGGTTGACAGGGCTGCCTAAAGTTGTGTGTGTGTGTGTGTGTATATAGGTATGTATGTATATATGTATAAATATATGCATGTATATGTAGTATATGTATACATGTGTGGATATGTGTGCGTGTATATATATATATGTGTGTGTGTGTGTGTGTATGTGTATATATATGCCAACCAAACACACATCATTTTTCATTTGATTTGTTTTCTTCATGGTGATGAAACAAAAAACGTGTCTTGTTTACTTCTAGGCAGGACCTTAAGACCTTTTCTTTTTTCCACTCAGCAAGTGGTCTATTATGTTTTGTATGGATATCTTATACTTAAAAATAGACAAATATACTGTGGTTTTGTCCTTTTAAAAATGTTTACTCTGGAGAAAAGTGGTTTTTGTGTGTATGTTTAGCATAAAAATATTTCTTCCTATAGCACGCATTACTTCAGAAGGGTACTTGGGTTTGTCTTTTGCAGTCAGAAGACAAATACTGAGACTACAATATTACATAAAAGAAAGATTTATAGGGGAATCCCAATTGTGTCTGTTCTGAAATAAAGCCTATTAAGTTCAGTGGTGTTACATTGTGAGTAAGCCTGTACAAAAGGGCAGCTGTGTGGCAGCAGAAGCTTTTGTGGACTAGAATCTGCTTCTGCAGTATAAGCCAGAATGGGGTCATTGGTTTGCTCAGGCTGAAACTTCAGACTGAAGTGGTTCCTGACTTAAGTTAGTGAGCTGAAATATGTGCAAGTCTTTCAATCACATGGAGTCTCTGCGCAAGTCATACCAAACCATAAAGTTAGCAGTGAGCTGTAGTTTCCCATGCTATTCTAAGAGTGAAACTTTGGTTAATAGTTTGGGAAAGAACCAGAGTTTTATATTAGTTATTTTGTCTTTTCTAAGTCATTGTTATCTGGTTTAAGTATAACAGAATATAGTTAATTGTGTCTTGCTATGAAATAATGTGTGTGTATTTCTATTTAACCAGCAAAGTAACTGTGGAGAGATACAGATTTAGAGGTTTGTTGGGAGGTTGGGCGGTGTACAAATGTACATTATTATTATTTGGTAGACTTTTGTACCAAAAACAACAAAGAGTTTTGTGGCACGCTAAAGACTAAAATTTGTTAATGCATAACGTATCAAGGTCACAATCCATTTTACCAGTTACTGGGAATCAGATATAAATGGTGGGACAAAAGTTCATGACATGCATCAAGTACAGAATGTCTGTAATATTTCTTTATAGAATTCAAATACTACAAGGTAAATATCAGTCATTTGTAGCTTTGCTGTTGTGATTAGCTAACGTTATCATACATTGTCATTATACTTACTACCTTTTGATTTTAAAGGCTGTTTTGCGTAGGTTGCTATTAGTTCTTTTAAACTATATAGGAAATAGTTAATGAAAGCTTATGCCAATAGTCCATAGATAATGCTGAGCCATAATGTGGTTTATTATTTGTTTTAGCATGATCATGGAACCCGCTATTGTGGCTTAGTGTTAAGTACAAATTTGGTTACTGTGGCTTTTTAAAAAACCTGGTTTAGCAGAATTATGTAAGAATATAGCTACTAAATTATTAGTCTTTAAGGTGCTACAATTATTAACTGAGGGAGCCATAGTTGAGCTGAGCCATAGTTGATGCTTTCTGTTCAAAAGGTCTTTGGTTCAGTCTTTAGCATCTCGGTCATGTCATAGGCAATGCAAGATGGACTGGTGGTCTCAGTGATGAATAATATAGGATGAATAATACAGTACTTGCCTTCTGCTTGTTCTGTTGACTCAAGGACATAAGAACTACCTTGCTAGACTGGACCAGAACTGAGAACCTGCTTGCTATCAGTAGTCAGTCGGATGTTTTTGTGGTAACGATGATTGTTTTTCACCATAGACCAGTCTTGAGAGGTGCACTGTAACTTAGTTGTTACTTGTTGACACTTATTTGTTCACAGTATTTCTATACTACCAACTTCATACAGACTCTGGGTGGTTTGCAACCCTATAAAATTCATAAAATGATAAAACAATTGCTCAAAACAAAACAAACGTTGGTGTCAGAGTGGCTGCTATACTCCACCTATGTGGTTGAATCATTTAGACAATTCTACTTGGCATGGAGGAAAAAAAAACCCTGTTGTTTTCACCGTTCTTTTGCCTCCAAGGCTCATAATTGAATCCTTTGTTTCAATTCCTATATTGATCTTTGGTTCAAAAATTATACCCTAAGGTTAGTTCTTTAATGACGTTTTGAAGCTATCTGTTTCTTGCAGCCATTAATTACTGACGTTTTAAGCCTAGGTATCCTCCTAGGCTTTATGAAAGTAACACTACCCTTCCATTCAAAAGTGCTTCTATTCTCAATGACCTCTTCTCTTTCCATATATTCCCATTCACAAGATTGAGGGGGATGCTTTTATTTGTTTGCAAATTTAAGAAAAAGATTGCTTTTGTGAAATACTGATGTATAATAATGTATATATTTGTAGCTCTACTTAGACTGAAAGACAAAGCAAGTGATTTGTAGAGTTTATGCAATGATCAAGCCTCTCAGTTCTAAATTACAGATGTGATCCATCTTTTGCATCTTAAACTCTGTTGGTACAGAAACTATGAAGTACATTGGTGGCTTTTCCAAATGCTAATAGCTTTACACATTTCTTTCTCTAATCTTATTTTGCTTGATTTTTATTTGGAAGCATGTCTTCCTTAAGAGATTATTTTGAGTATGGACATGGACTTTGCTGCCACTTACTGACCTACTTGAAATATCCATGATACCATATTTACCATACATGTGTTATTTTACGTACTACCTAAACATGTACTTGTAGTCAGATTGTGGGATTTAAAAATCATGCTTGTCTTTATTCTTTCAGAACTGTTTTGTTTTCTGAAAGGAAAAAAAAGCAGCTTTTATTTGTGAGAGTTCAAAAGCAGCTGTCCACTCAAGGTATAAGGATTACATCAGGGTTCCTCAACCTTGGCGACTTGAAGAAGTGTGTACTTCAACTCCCAGAATTCCCCAGCCAGCTG